GGAAAACAATAATGAGCACCTCAAAAGACCCAGTCGGGATCGGCGTCGGTGTTTTTGCGAGAAATGGGAAGAGAAGTAATTATGCACTAAAATACAACTACAATAAGATGCATGACTGTATCGTCATCTAAAATCGGTTAATTGTCACTATCGCCCGAAAGTAATAGTAATTTGAAAAGTGATTGACCTACTTTGTTGCAATGGTTTAAACCAGAGCGTTTTCAATAGAGAGCCTAGAGTAGTGGTTCAGTTTCTGTTTGAAATCGTTTTCGGCGGCAAGTCTGAGCAAATTGCTGATAGCTTATAACATTGATTCCAAATAGTTGTTTGGCAGATTTGAAGTTTGTATGTCGATTGTGAAAAGTTCAGTAGCCTCGGTGGGATTCGAACCCACGCATGGACACCGCCTACGCTTTGTACGCGCATGCTCTACCAGCTGAGCTACGTGGCTTCGTAGCTCAGGTGGTAGAGCATGCGCGTACAAAGCGTAGGCGGTGTTCATGCGTGGGTTCGAATCCCACCGAGGCTACTGAACTTTTCACAATCGACATACAAACATTGATTCCATTTATCCTGATTTTTTAGCCGTACGAATTGTGTAGTGGGCTCGGAAATCACGATTCTCGGTCTGTGGTTAGCTCTTAATCAGGATCGAGAGTTTTCGATGTCTAAAGTGATGCGAACGTAGATCTGCTATCAATGTAGAAACTTCTTTGAACACTGGCGAGTAACTCCAATGTAATTCAAAGGGCAATAATGAGAACATATCTTGCTAATCATTCTCGTGGCACAAATGCTACCTGTACCTGGACAATTTCAACAGATTTGCTCATCTTTTTTACACCATTCACCTCTTCAAAAAATGAATTATCGGACCGATTAGTGTTGTAATCGGCAGGTGGCTATGTATCACATAATTCATCACCCTTCGGGTGTATCCTTCACACGACTTTTGTCAAGCACCGTTCGAATCATGATTTATCCGTAAGAACTCGTGTCCATAGCCATGCCGTGATTCGTTTTTAGTACGGAATAATGTTTCAATTACCATAAAAAATGCGGTAGTTTATAAGCCATGAAAAAAGCCTTTGAGTCATTTATTTTGTTACTTCATTATTAACAAAAGCAAAAAGCGTAGGTTTGATGTAGCCTGATTATTGTGGTTCTTTTAATAATTCCTTTCCTTTACCTACCAGATGGCTCTCACAATGGGTTTCCTCACACACTTGGAGCTCCTTGTCATTGCAAGCCGACAGTCCGTGATTGTGCCTCTGTCCCCACGGTTGTTCGATCCCAGGAAGACACGATTCGCGGTACACCACTGTCCCATCTACCTCCGCGACCGGGCTCTACTCCGGCTTGCAAATCGCGCCCGACAGTTGAAGCCTGTCCTAGGTCTATCAAGTCTGGAATTGGATCGACGCCTCGGGATTCGGTTCAACCAGTGGTGACGTTAACGACCACACCAGTACCGACAAAACCTGTCACAACGCATGCGCGAAAGAATGATTGTGCTCAATCCATTTCAACCTGTGACATGAGTGAGGGCAGTGAGGAAGAGGACCATGATCTGATGGCTTTGATCTGTGCTCCACCGCGAGAACCTGTTCCGTGCTTTGCGTAAGTGATGCGTTGGTTTGGTTCTCTTTCTCTGTAAAATACTGAGCATCACAGGCTTACTGTAATTTTGTTTTGTACTTAAAATCAAGAAGAGACTTTTAGTTCACTCTAGTGATAGCGATTTTTTTCCAAAACTGAGTGGTGTCGTCGGATTTGAACAGCATCTGGGAAACTGCAACAAATGTGGATCTCTAAGACAAATCACCGAAACTGAAACCCGGCGGTCTCTGGATGTTGTGCCTTGGTCTATTGGTGATGGCAAATTTACGACTGAGCGAAATAATCTATCTTGTTTGGCCTTAAATGATATATGAGGATCTGTGGGAATTTGGCATTCCACAAAATTTGAATAATGTATTAGTTAACCTCAATCGTTCTTCATTAACTTCAGATTCTAGATTGACTAGTTTGCTTCAGAAGTTGTTATCTAAGAAAAACGAAATATCAGTGAACAACGGGTAGAATACCGACCGGTTTGCTGCATCGATGAAATATTCACATTACCCTAGGTGCTTGAGTTATGCCACAAACATCGTCTGGCAACGATCACGGTGTTACTCAATCTAAAGACCGCGTTTGACTCGGTTAACCATGAAGCTCTATTCGGTTCCACTCTGCGTAAGGCTCTACCCAAGAACGGTTACTCGGTTGATCTTACTGTACTCCCATACTTTTGGTTAACTAGGGATCAACGGAGAGCTAAGGAAATCGTTTGAAGCCAACAGCGGTGTTTGAAATAGGGTGCCCTATTTTGCCATTCCTGTTCAGTTGTGTCGTATACGCGATACTGGAGAGTGCAATAAATGGTTCCAGGTGTTGGCATTGAAACGCAGCTGAAGAAAGTTTGTACGATTTGGGGGTACGCCACACGACATCGTCTGCCCAAATGTTTTAAGTGCGCTCAAAGTGCACCTACCACTAACAAGTTCTATCACTCTTTGGTATGCACTTTGTACCTTCGAAGCTTCAAGTGATGCTGCAAGATTGGGTGTCATCTTCCCCTACTTGGAAGCATTTTTTATCACACCGAATCCAGATTAATTGGTTTCGCTGGTTAAGATACCTGTTGCGCATGCCTAGCAGTCGTATGCGTCATTAGGCTTGATTTGCGGCTGCTGCCCCAAGGTGGAGAAAATCACGTGGAGGTCAACAGATGACATTGGAGCAAGACACTGAGTGCACAGTGCGATGAAGCAGTGTGTGTCCCTCGCCTTTCATTCTAAGCTCTAAACAACTGTAATTGTTTAGTTAGAGACAATGAAAATCAACGTAGTGAACTGACCGCAGTGGCGTTGTTGTCATTTTTATCGCGTCAAAATGCCTGAAAAGTTGTTTATGCATAGTAAAACTGTATTAACCGAAGAGGTTTACATTTCTTTTTTATACCTCGATTCAGGTCTACTCCTCAGTCACTTTACGCATTGGTATTTTGTGTTTATTGTAAGTTTGTACTGTTCACACAAAGGTGTATATAAAACAATTTGGAGATGGATAGTTCATGCGCTATAACGTCCGATGAATGTGGCACTGAAGTAGCGGCTGGATACATATTAGCAACGGTATTTTCTAGTCCTCACTTCTGAAGTGTAATTGTTTGAACATTTCTCTTTTGCTCTCATTGCTTTTAGTGTTATTGATGTTTTCCTGATATGTTTCTTGAATCGCTTGGAATATTCGTTGTTTGAAGTGTTTGATTTTCTCGAATTCGTATATCATTACTTCGGAAGAAATTCAATAGACTGTCGATGCCAAATATCTTTCGAATTTCCTTTCATACTATGTACAGTGTTATTCACCAACCCCTTTCTTCAGCTTAACATGCGGAATGAAATTCTTTCATCTGCATCATGAGATCGATGGAATTGTATGCGTGCCTAAAAGGTAAAAAGCTACAAGAGATGAAACAAGAATCTCCAGCATAAGAATAGTATAATGATATTTGTTGTACGATGCCCCTCTGTTGATTTTCCAATTTGGTTTATTGCACTGGAATTGAATCGACGGTCATTATTGTTCAGGTTAGATAAACGTGTTCTTCTTGCTGAGTATTTACGTCTAAAAAAGCGATAAGTTTGCAACCGAACGTGAAAGAAAATATAAACCTATATAGTGGATGCAACCAGTCAATTGGAGTGACACGTTCGAGACTCTATATGCCCCGATACCCACACACTTCAGAAGATTGTAGTTTTCCCACTTCCTTTAGAACCAGTGTGTTTGTTTGATACTGGTAGTCTAAAGCATACTACAAACACCAGAATTTATGGTAACTCGGGAATATACGTAAAGAGAACACATCCTGGATATTTATGGACTTTGATTAAACCGTCGCCGAACTCCCCTGTCATCCAAGAAAACCTTTACTTTCACGATTGACCTTTCAAATTTCAGCTTTTTGCTCGAGGGTGTTCCACTAGCCTTTACTCAACTATGACCTAGAAAGCAATTGATTTTTACACTGTTTCGCTTGGATTCCGACTGCATTTTTAGTCGTTTGATGAAAATATGACTTCGTGTTCTCGATTTGCCTGAACCGTCCAAAATTCATGGGTTAAGCTGCGACTCGTCGCGTTCCGAGGAATCACGCTACCCTCACTTGGTTTAGCCCGCCTACCAGTTACCGGAGCATGCATGGTCCTAATGACAAGGAAGCAACTTCTTGGAGCCACAAACGAGAGTCTAGAGAGAAATGTGGACCAAAGAAGAGACATCGTTTTGTATGCATCTATCAGGTTCTTGAGATAGAGCTGTCAGCACAACCGAAAACGCCACCATTCTGGGAGGATGGGTGTCACTTTGACTAGAAAGTCAGGCCTGCAAGGTAGCAAGACGAGGTCAAACATCAAATGCGGACAACTGTACAGTTAGTAGTCAATTGGGGAACCTTAGACAACTAATTATGCCGGTGAAATTCAGTTAACGGATACAGAAGGCATTGCAACCGGGGTTCAAATTTACGAACAGTATACCAAAGCTTAACGCCTCGTAATCACTCCACATTATAATCCTCTCCTAACGCTAATTTGTTTCCCTTCCTTAATAGATATTACATTTCCCACTCCTAACCATCTTGGGTGGTTGCATTATCTGGTAATAGTGCATTGATTTCTGTTAATCCAACCGTACCAGATTACTTCACTCGAAGTACAATAGTTTTACCTTCGAAGTAATTTGTGGATCCGCTGTGTTGAGGCGATGAGTTTTGCCTACTTACCGTATTTCTTGTCTCAGGGAGTGCTTTTTTTATCCGTATCTCCCTAATTCATGAAGTTTGAG